CAAGGAAAAAGTGAATATTAAATAAAAGATTCAGAGAAACGAAATTTTTATCCCCGTCTATCAGGGAAAAATAATCAATTGTTGTGGAATAAGAATTTCAAATATATTTAAAACTCAATCAAGAGAATATTTTTCGAATTATCGAAGTGATTATACGAGAATAATCAAGGTAGTGTCAAAGGAGAAATGATTCTCGAGAGATGTCGATGAAAAACAATTTATTTGCTTTCATAGATAAAGACGAAGGGATATAAGATTTTGTTTATGAGAATGGAAAACAATATCGAATAATCGATTTCTTTCGATTGTTATTATAGAGGCAATGAAACTAAATTCGATTTATATCATAATAAATTTCAACAAACTGTCCGACTATTCTGAATTAAAACGAGTTTTATTCGGCAATAAAACGGAAGAAGTTGAACATAATCGTTATAGAGGAATTAAAAACTTTTATACGTTTTAATTAGAGTTTTTGATTGATATCTCTTAAAGAAATAAGAAATTTATTGGAAATTTTATTTATTAATTGAAGAATTAATTTAATCGGTTCGATATATTTAATAAAACACGAATATTTTGAAGAGAGATTGAAAATATCGTTTAAGTTTTAATTAGGATATCAAACTGTACGTTTTGATGTGCTGTGACTTTCATTAATACTCAAATATCACGATATACCGATGATTATTTACTTATTTATTTATTTTGTTGTAATATTATCGAATCATTTCTTTAACATATTAAGAAATACTCACTGTAATTGATAGAAATATAAATGTTATTTGTTTAAATTGTTAAATTGAATAATAATAATAATAATAACTCATTGTATTTAATTTATCACTGTTTCACAATATTTATAAACATAAGTATGAGATTTATATAATTTATTTATATACTGTAATGTTAACATTTCTGTTAACCTCTGCCATTATTAAATTTATTCTACAAAAATCTATAAACACCAAGAATTAAATAAAATTTATGTCTCCATTAATTGTAAGAAGAACTCTTTGTAAAACTCTTTCTAATTTCAGTTACGAATTCGTATTTTATTAAATAAATTATAAAATACAAAAAAGCAACACGAAGATATTAATCGTCCTAGACTGAATAATTTTTTTGTTCGATTCACAGCAGCAACTATAATAACAAGGATAAAATTTTTAATCGATAACGATAGCCAAAGCAAATCTTTGAAATCTGACAATAGCAGGCTCCTCTTCAAAAAGTTTATCTTTGTTTGGATCAAACATTAATAGTTTGATTTTATTCTTTGAAGTCAAAGTTCCTAATAATGGAACCCAATATCCCTCCCTCCCTCCCTCTCTCTCTCGTAACTCTATGCCAATATCAAGTAGAACCAGTTGTTAACGTTTTAACAAACGAACGTCTGTTGAAACAGGATATTGTTATTTTTGGGTTGTTTGTTTCATTCCCTAAATTCTCTCTATCTTTTCCTTATAATTTTTTTAAATAATATTAATTCATTAATCACAAATTTTATGTAAACTATAAAAAAAATAATATTTTTTTATCAAATCTTATACTAATTTTTTTTCTCATTTTCATCGTAACGTGAAAATTTACATTAAAATTTCAATAATTATTATATAAAATAGACATGCAAACGTATCTCTTTTTTAATGAATTTCGAATCGAATTTTTCTTCTAATCAATCCATAAATAATTAAAGATTTTCGTTTTCACTTATATTAATCAATAATTCTAAATATATTTTTTGAAAAAAAATCTTTGTGCACATTCCATAATCTGTATCAAGTGTTTCTTAAAATAATAATGATACCATTGCTAATTTTTAATGACCTATAAATTATTAACAACAATTAATTTAATTTCATACGTATTGTTCGAATAAATGCATTATTCATCATCGTTATAATAGATTAATAATTTATATGTATATATATAAAACGTTAACAATTATTTTTGATCTCATATTCCTCTTGTTTCTTCAAATCCTCGTCGATTTGACGTATGTGTAAATACGTAAGTAGCTTACTACTCGTGTACTCCAGGCAAAGCTGCTTTGTACGAATTAAAATAAATATGAATTAAATTACTATCCTGTATAAATAATAATAATTATCACATTTTCCATAAATATAATTTCCATAAATAACTGCGATTTTTTTAACATTTGATAACAGGATGTTAATATTTATTTATAGAACATCTTTGAGGAAAGATCCAAAAAAAAGAATCATCGAATATAATTCGATATTCTCTCGAAAGATATATAAATTCCATGAATATATTAATAATGTGATACAAGTATATATATACATATATTTCTACAATTTTCACAATAACATTTACAAAGGTTTTGTCATTTATCATGTACAGTTATCTACAAAGATTTTTTTTGGATCACATTTTATCGTTCAACTATCATCCACCACGGTACGAAGAGCTGCGAAGATGGACAGAGCATTGGACACGTACTGAAACGTTGTTATTTAAATATATTTACATTTGGAGATTAATAAAAGATTATTGATTACTTACTGAACAATAATATCGTATAGTGAGCTCTGGCAATAGAACGTTAATCGAGACGGGTATCGGTTTTTGAAATGTCAATACGGTCAACAGAGCTTTTTGCAAGCCCAACCTCTGCTCGTACCATATCGAGTCGTACACGCTTCTCGAAATGTTCATGCTCTGGAAATTTTACGAGAATGATCGTTCTTAATGGAAAGTCTTACAGTCTTATTAACTCAAAGTATCTTAAAGTATCGTATTATATTCAGTATTAATTGAAAAAAAAAATCATTTTCGAATTGAAATAATCGAGCAAGTTAAGAAAACTCTCGATTTCTCTTTTCTTTTAGAATTAATAAAAGAGATCTTAAATGGTTAAACAAAGGATAGTGATAACTTTTGAAGAAAAAAGAAATTGCACTGATTCAAGATCATAAGATTATGTCATCAGAAGAATTAGGTTTACAACTTACCATATCGTACATGTAATCAGCGGGCAACGCGTACAAATAAATTTCCAGAAGGATGCACACGCATATGATTATAAACTGCGCTTTCACGATTAACGGCGAATTCTGTTTACGGAATTGGCGGCGGTTAATCCACATCGTATATCGCGTGAAATCGTCGTCGTGAATCTCTCACTTACTATGATCAGCACTATGCCGCACAGGGTCAAGACAAACGTGCCTAACAGTATTGCGTGAAACACTAGGAAACGAATACAGCTCACCACTTCTTCCGCGTATCTGGGCATAGAGAACTTACGACAATAAATATTGTCGTTAATCGAAACTCTTAACTGGGGAAAACTATATTAAAAGTTAATCCTTCGCGCTCGAGAGGAGATTTGTTTTCAAATTTATTAAAATTTTTAATCCTCTTTTCAAACGTTTACTGATTGAGTGAATAAAACACGCGTAATAAGTGATATTTCAATAGAGTTGAGAAATATTCTGTAAATTTGTTAAGAAGCATTCAAATTTCGATTTTATTATATAATACCTCGAAACGTCTATTTTAATTTAAAAAGTTATAAATTTATAAATTTATAAGTTTTTTTTTGTAAATTAAGCTTAAATGCAATGATTTGTCAATGATTTTTCATATGTTCCATGTCATTCCTCGCAATAAAAGTTGGATATATAAAAACTGTACTAAAATTAATTTTGTTCTCCCATGATATGGAAGACTCGTTACTGATATTTATGGATTAATTCTAATCTATCTTATATTATAATATTCCTCCTAAAAACTATGCTTCTGACAATGTCTTCAACGTTAATTCAGACTCGACAATCTGGTGGCAAAAGTGTCACAGTTTCGTAAAATTTACAAGTTCTAAAAAAAAAAAATGAATTTCGAAAATAAAATTAGCTCAAGTTGACGAAGATGAATTTCATTTTAACATGGTAGTATTAAATACAAGAAATCGAAAAATTAAAACAAGTGAATAGAGTGCCTCGCAAGAAGATGTCCCTCGTGAATCTGACGTTATCAAAATCATTATTTTTATTATATTATTATATAATAAAATATGTATTATATTTTATTATATAATTTTATTATATTTATTATATTTATATTATCATTATTATATTTACGTTATCAAAATCATTTACCGACTGAAAAAGTCTTTGAGCGCAAAGAGTGAAAAAGTCAAAAACTCTCTTTTTTATAACGATTCGATCGATGCCGGATTATAAAAGAAAGAAAAGAAAAAAAAGAAAATTTACAAGTCCAAAAAAAAAAAAATGAATTTCGAAAATAAAATTAGCTCAAGTTGACGAAGATGAATTTCATTTTAACATGGTAGTATTAAATACAAGAAATCGAAAAATTAGAACAAGCAAATAGAGTGATATCTCGCAAGAAGATGTCCCTCGCGAATAAATGTGATAATTTTACATTATCAAAATCGACTGAAAAAGTCAAACCAAGATTGAAAAAGATTATAAGAGATTATAAAAGAAAGAAAAGAAAATTTTTACCTCTTCAAGCGCGAGTGTTTCTTAAGGCACACGACCAGCACATCGATACTCGTTACCCCCTGCAACTCCCCGATCAAGCACTCGAATCTTGCGGCCGTGAACCAGAGCAGCAAGGCCCCGAACACGCACAAGCACATATGGGCCGTGCTTTGAAAGATGACGAGGACATGACTCGCGTAAATGATAAAACTTCTCGTTGTTGTGTTAACGTGGAACGGGTATTCCGTTTCAAAGGGGAAAGGATTTGGGAGGAATAGGGGGGCGAATATAAAGCTTGTCCCGCAGATGTATATCGATACGATGGACGCCCCGTACAAAGTGTTACATTTCGACCCGTACACGCGCAAAATTTCGTACGTCCTCCCTTCCTTTATGCATCCCATCATCTCGTCCACCACTCGCTGCAATTAACCAACTGCGATTAAACGGCGATTAATTCCTCCTCGTCTCCGTAAAACGGTGGAGAACAGGCCTCGAAAACGATTTTT